AGACAACGAGAAAGAGAAGCTAATAGTCAAGCAATGCGGATTCACAGATCTACTGATGAAACGGAGAGGGAGCGTCAAGAAAATGCCTTGAGAATGCAGCATCGACGGAGTAGCGGGGTGATACGTGAGCAGGAACGCGATTAGGGATCGGGAAGCGAAGCAGCAAAAAAGAACCTTCACTTACACATCGTGTGTTGAAGCATATGAAAATGCAGTCAAGGAAGGGCCAACGTACACATGCAACTGCTGCGGCAGATTAGAATTCCGACGCTCTGTTTCTACACTCGAAATGTCACATCTGCTGCAAGCTAGTGGCGCAAATGAAGTCCGAAGAAATCTTGTAAGAAATGTATTTTATCTACAGCAAGTCAAGGAATGCATCTTCTGCAAAGCGTGTGTACAGAGCATCAAATGCTGGAAGCAACCCCGTTACTGCCTTTCAAACGGTTTGAACTTTCCTGTCGTGGATCACAGGCTGCAGATTTTGACAAGACTAGAAGAACGACTTGTAGCTGCACGTCATATTTTCCAGACAATCTGGCCGTCACACGGTGGACAGCTCCGATGCAAGGGAGGAATTGTTAATGTCCCAGTTTCCGTTGACACAACAGTATCCCTCCTTCCTCATCTTACCACTGATGCGCATGTTGTGCATGTTCGTATTGCACGACGAATGCAATACAAAGGCAACTATATCACCGGCAGCGTCAGACCAAACTGCATCTGGCAAGCTGCTGTGCACCTTAGGGCTCAGCCACTTTATCAGTTTCACAGTATTGCTCTTTCGGACAACTGGTTGATGCAACACTGTTACGTCCATCCTACTGCGGACGCAAACATCGAGCCTGAGGAAGATGAGGAAGAGGAAGATGCTGAGCCTCTTAACCCTGACGCGCAGGAAACTATGCTGTCGGCTGAGGACGGAGAGTACGGTATAAGGATGGCTCCTGGCAAAGGTCGTGGGCCTGTTTCAGTCCTTCTGGACGAAGATACCGAATATCTTTCATTCCCAACATTTTTTGGCGGGCATAAACTGCAACCCGTCTTTCAAGGCCATCCATTGTCGTACTCGGATATCGCCAAATCATTTGCAGTGCGATACGGTCGAAGAGTAGCGCAACGCCCCGATTACTTACTGTTCATGGCGAAGAAGATTGAGCTGCTGAGATTATCTAGCAACATATCTTTATGCTTGCGGAAAAGGAAAATCCGCAACCGCAATGACATCAATGCCTCTAATCTCAGCAACAATGATTTTATCTACGGGCTTGTGCAGCATGATGATGCATATAGTGTTCTTACTGGTGTGCGAAATTCCTGCACACATTGGCACAATGAAAAGCAGAAAGTATTGGCAATGGTAAGACAGTTTGGACTGCCAACCTTCTTCCTCACTCTTTCCGCGGCTGAGACACAGTGGCCCGAACTTCTTTAAATTCTGAAACGGGTTGTTGATAACGAAAGCATTACTTCAGCAGAAGCACTTACATTACCGTACACTGAAAAATCAAGACTGATTCAGTTGGATCCAGTTACTTGTGCACAGTACTTTAATTACCGATATCAAGAACATAGAAAGCTATGGGATCTTTCTGGCGTCCATTCCAAGGCATAGCAATTACACACTCATTTTATAGAGTGGAATTTCAGCAGCGAGGGTCACCTCACATACATCAACTCCCCTGGCTAGGCGACGCACCGGTTTTCGACACGGTCTCTGGTCAAAATGAACGTGAAGTTTGCAATTTCATCGACAGATTCATTGCATGCTCCTCCGCAATTGATATTCGGGACCAACAAGGACCCAGTCGCAGTCCACATTATCTTGAATTTCAGTACCACAGACATGCTGCTACGTGTGGAAGACGTAAGACAGGAAAGTGCAGATTTGGGGTACCGTTTTACCAAATGCGCAACACCCGAATTCTGCGGCCATTGCCGAAGAACACTGACGAGCAGGAGCGTGAGCGCCTTGCAGTAGTGCTAAAGCAAATAAAAGGTATTTGGCAGAGAGCGAAAACTTGGAGAGCACTAGTTTTGATGAATTCCTGGAAAAATGTCAGGTCTCAGAGGAAGAATACTTGCTAGCAATAAGGGCCGAACTACGAAGATGCAAAGTTCTCCCACGCCGTAATCCATCGGATGTAATGATTAACCCGTACTCACACCGAAAATACTGTCTACGATGAGGTCCAGTATGGATCTGCAATACGTGCTCGACCCATATGCGAGCGCATCCTACATCATCGATTACATCAATAAATCTGATCGAGGGGTTAGCGCAGCAACTGAAGAAATGGTAAAGGAATTAAGTAGAGGGAACAATACCCTGCGTGAAGTAATGCGGAACATCAGCAGTGTCCACTATAACAGCACCGAAATTTCTGCTCAGGAAGCCACATACAACATGTTGCAGCTGCCTATGTCATGCAGCACTGAGCAGGCTATCTTTATACAAACGTCTCCGCCAGATGAGCGTGTGAGAACTGTTAAGCCGCAGCACCAGCTCCGTAATCTGGATCCTACTTCCAGAGACTGCTTCATGCATGGATTGCTGGAACATTACACAAAGCGTCCAGCTGAGATGGAAGGCGTTACACTTGCCGACTTTGCAGCATGGTATAACTACCGTAAAGCTAGATCACGTCTAGCATCGCAGGCCACTGCAGCGGAAGACGATGAAACTGAAAATAATGAGTTCCAAGGCAGGGCAACGGGAGGACAATTTATACGCCTAATGGACGGCGCGGGATTTATCCGGAAACGTTCTCGACAAAAGTAATCCGCCACAGAATGTACAACATCCACACAGAGCCGGAACAGTTTTACCGTCAAGCAGTGATGCTATATCATCCGTGGAGAAATGAAGAAGTGATAATAGACGCAGACTGTGAGACGCTCTACAACACAAATCGCGAAGAAATTATGCGGATTAGGAAGCAGTACCACTACTTCTCAAACGAAGTTAAAGAGACTGCGATGGAGCAGGCACAAAACGAAGCCCGAGACCGCGAAGTGGAAGAAGAGGCCGATGCCACTGCGCCAACTTTTGACTACGATAACAGTCACCTTTATCAGGAACAGGAAGAAGTGCATATAGGTAGTGGAATATATAAACGAAACCCATACGTCGAGAATTTCCAACTACCAAATCAACTTCCCAATTCAGAGTTCGAAGAAA